TTGCATCGAGATTGTCAATTGATAAGAGGATGGCGCCACTACAGTTACTGCTGTGCTCCCTGCTGCCAGTCTGTAACACATAGTAATTTGAAGAATTACACTTAGATATACCTTATAAGTAGCAGTACAAATATTGTCCTTAAAAAAGTTATCAGTTTTGAAGAAAGATGATAAATAGTAGAGAATTGTAGGACATTTATAATTGGCTCCCGGGAGTTCTCATCTTACTCCATATAATTTTATCATTGTTTTTTTTCATCATCCACTCATCTGTTCGCTTACAAAGTGTTATGAGTGCTTAACGTTGAGAATTACGCTAACACAATTCAATAATGGAACAAAAGTTTACAGGTTTGTTAATTACTCTTTCTTTATCTGGTCTTTTTCATCTCAAAATTTTGTCGACATTCGATTCTGGTTCACAAACTTTAGCAATGGCTCATGACTTTTGTGTTATTTTTGACAGAAAGACATTATATAAACATGCTTTGCAATTAATTTTAGACATGGATTGGCTCAACTCTGCGGGCAAGATTATAAAACTCGCTACTCGATCAGATTTATATAACCAGTTTTCACATTTAAAAACTGATTATGAACGTACTAAGTTTCTGCATGATAATAAACAATTATTAGCAAGTACGATAGAAAAATATCTAAAACAAAGCACAAAAAATAGTAAAGATGTATCAAAGGCAACATCCTATCGCAAGCAAGGCAATGACTGTTTTGTTACTAAAAAGCTTGGACAAGCAGCATGGTAAGCAATAAAATTTGAGATAGAAATATGGCTAAATTAAAATATTTCTAGGTGTTATCGTGTTAGTATAGCCATGTCAAATAAAAATAGTCAGGATATGGCGTTGTCTTACGGCAATTTATCAGCTGTTCTTTTTGAATTATGTCGGTATCATGAGTGTTTACGTTGTATTCAATTGGCACAAGATTATGGCTATCCAAATGAATTGAAATTCAAGTGAGTAAAATACTTTTGCGATCAGTTCACAATATATTATTTAGATGTCTTTTCTTCAACTTCCTAATTTATTTTTATTCATTTTTCTTACTTGAATTAGCACATCGATATGAATCAAGACCGCATTGATCGCTAACTTCCTACACCCGCTTGTTATATTGAGAAAATATGGGGAAATGAATGGCACTCTATGCACTTGAAGAAGCTTGTTCATCGTAAAGATAGCAATTACTATAACGTTTATTTTAGATTAGTCTTTCGACGTGCAGCTTGTTATCATAAATTGGACGATCTCATTCGAAGCTCATATGAATTAAAAATTGCAGCCGAATTAATTAAACATGCCAATGGTTTAGATCGAAAAAAACTTGAATCTTATTGTAAAGAAATGGAACAACTTAGTCATCAAATCGAAGAAACATTATCGAAAAAATTATATGAGGATTATCAGAGAGAAGCAGAGAATATGACAAGTAACAATAAAGAGAAAAAGAGATCGTATAAAAATCTTGATGAATTTGTTGATAATTCTCAGTCACTAAATGGTACAATAACATTGAAACTGTCGTCATCAAAGAACAATAATAAAAGCAAAGTACGATCTTCTATATCGCCACCATCTCCATCTCGAAATCTTGAAGACTTAGAAATTTGTCGTCCACAACTCTATCATGGAAGAAATGAAGAAATTCCATGTTGCAGTTTCGCTATTCGTATGAATTATACAGAAGATAAAGGACGTCATTTGATAGCTCAAAATCTGATTCCATCAAATAAAATAATTCTTGTGGAAAAACCCTATTCATGGTTATTATTGCCAAATTATAGTTATACATACTGTGATCATTGTTTAAAACTAATTGTGATACCATTCGTTTGTCCGAACTGTTCTCATGTTCTTTATTGTAGTGAATATTGTCAAAACTATTCACTAACCAATTATCATCAGTACGAATGTGGCTATATTCATGTGTTAAAAACATTGGGCATCGCTTATTTAGGTATAAAGCTAGTAACAAAGTAATTCGAATACAGATTATTTTTCATTTTCTTCATTTCAGCATATCGAACAATAATTCTAACTGGCCTGGAGCGTTTACTAACCCAAAAAACCAAAAAAGTATCTAATCATTATTATTCCAATTATGAATCTGTTAAAAATCTGATAACACATGCAGAACAAATGTCAACCGATGATTTATTTCATTATTCATTAACAGCTTATTTTTTATCGGAAATTATTAAAAAAACAAAGTTTATTCGGCAAACATCCAATATCCAGGAGCAAATTATACAACAATTAATTATCGCTAGTCATTTATTGAGACATATACAACAAATGATATTCAATTCACAAACAATATCGGTTAAGAGAAAAAATATCAAATCGAAACGACAACAAAAGGATCCAACGTCGACTGGTAATACTAACACTATTAAAGAGGTATATATATATATATATATATTTTTTGGAAATTATTTCATAAGATGTAAATTATTTATAAATTAACTTAATTTAGCAACAACATCAAACTAAGAAAAAGAAAAAATATAACAAAAACGGGACGAATAATGTTAGAAATGATACAAAAGCAAGAGTGAATGATATATCAAATAATGTAAATAAGATAGACGACATTGATGATGATTTATATTATGATAATTTATCCGAAAAGGAAGATGATATGTTTGTCAATGAAAAACGTTTAGCTACTGCTCTGTTTCCTACCTGTAGTTTGATGAATCATTCTTGTGTACCAAATGTAACTTGTTCATTTTATAATGCATTACTCATTGTTAAAACGTCGAGAACCATTTTAACTGGCGAAGAACTTTGCAATTCCTATGGACCACTGAAATCTAATCTGTCAACAGAATTGAGACAATCGGCACTATACGAACAATACTATTTTAAGTGCCTATGTGATGGATGTGTGGAAGTTACACCAACTAATGGTTAGTCTTTTATTTCTAACATCTTGACAATTTTTGACTTCTAACAAATAATCCAGCAATAATGGACAGTTCTATAATTTTCTTATATCTCCATCAGAATTTATCTCGAAAATTTTCTTTTTTCTCAGTAAAAGAACTGTTGTAAAATTCTCTACAAAAGATGTATTGAGTGTTTTATTACAAAAAATATGAAAATGGAATGTTATACGAAAAATGCTGAGAAGCTCTAAAATGAACAACTTTCTAAAAATTAGTTTATGTTGTTTTATTCCTTTGACTGTTGAAATGAGAAAAACTTTTAACTAACCACTGTCACTGTTGAAAAGCTGTCATCTATCTATAATTAATTATTAATTTCTTATGCCTGTATAAATCTTTCCCGTTTTACTGCTGGCTATATGAGAATTTTTTTTTCCTTTTTTCTTTTGACAAAAAAGCCTCATTGTTGAGTAAAATCCTCCTAACTCGTCCAAAATCAAACAAATTTGATTTAGGTTTTTTTTCGTCTTTTTAACGAGAAACAACGTGTCTATTATATCCAAATACAAAGATCTCTAAAACTATGCTAAGAGAAAAGATTAAAATTGTGTTGTTTTTAGAAAATTTCAACTTTATTATATATGAGAAGAACGAGCGATGCTTCTCAGTATTTTTCATATAACATTCCATTTTCATATTTTTGCCATAAAACCCTCACTATGTCTTTTATAGAGAATTTTACAATGGTTGTTTCACTAAAAAAAAATAAAATTTTCGAGAAAAACTCTGATAGAGATATAAACAATTTACCCATTATTTCTGGTTAATATATTGAGTATTACCGTTAAAGTCCTGAAAAAAGTTCTTATGATTTAATTTTTTATATTTTAGGTGAAAAAATAGAATCAACAAAAAAAAATTTACCATTATCATCTGCCGTAACAACTTGTGTTCTTGCTACAAAAAATAATAAATCAGAAGATTCAAATGAACAACAAGCAACATTGAATACATCTAATTTAGTTTATTTAAATTGGATGGAAAAATTAGCTGAAGCTAAAAAAAGATTTTCTAATGGAACAAATTGTCTAATTTTATATGAACAACAAACAAATCATTTTGATTTATGGCAAAAGGGTTTAATATATTTAGAAGAAGCTCGATTATTATATGAAAATGTTATTAATGAGTTAAATCTTGATTCTGTACATATTTATGATTATATCGCTAAAATATACAACGATGAACAAGACTATGAAAATTGTTCATCGTGTTTAAATCGATCTTTATCTATATTGACTACCTATGTTCATTCCTATTCAATTGATTATTTATTAGATGATTTGAGAAAATATGCTCAAACACTATTTAATAGTAGAAAATTTGAAAATTCTTTATTAACCTGTGAGCAAGCATTAGAATTTATACAAAAACATTCTCTTACCTCTACGAGTTGTCACAACATAAAAAATTATTTAAAAAATATTGAAGATTTAAAAGCTGAATGTGAATTATGTATTAAAATGGGATTATAATATTAAAGAACAATAAATACCACAGTGTCTTACGGTATTTTCACTGCTTCTCTTATTTGAGCAATCATTTGTTTTATTCTTCTTGTCATTTCCATTGTAATTATTTGTGTGTAACTATCTAGTCGAAATTTAGTTAGTTTTCTGATTTATATCACATACACGTCAGACGTTAGAAACTAAAATTATGTTTACTGTTTAGTCTCTACGATTTCCTCCAATTATTAATATTGCACTTTCCAAAAGCAGTTTTTTCTAGCTCAGATAACTATTTTGTTTTAAAGATTTTGTTTTTTCCAAAAAAAGAATTGTTTATTAATGTTGTTAATATTTTATTATGTTACAGATGGGTATAGTTATGTTATACGATACGTTACTTTTATTTACATAAAAACAGTAGTATTCTTAAAATACACAATTCAGATGTTTTTTCTGTTTTTTTGCACATATTGACAGTTGTATGTATATAATTTATTGTTATATTGTTTTTACTGTTGCTTTACAGTACTTCTATGTGGTATTTTTTCATCAGCAGGCTGATGATTCTTCTCTTTCTCTATATAGTTATAACTCATTACACATACAATTGTTGTCTGTGTGTATTATTCTCAATGGATCATTATATTATGGGTTTTACTTTCTGAATCGTTTTATTTCAACTTATTCAACGTTTGTTGTCTTTTCATCTTCTTGTTTTTTTATTTTATTCTTTTTTTTTCTTTTTCATGCACATATATATTTGTTTGAATTTTATGAAAAGCTGAAAAAGTTAATGAAGTGGAATATAAATGTTCTCAGAAAAGTGTCACCGTTCTTGGACCATGAAAAATGATTTAGTGATCGTCATAAGTTATCGTACTACAAGAAAAAAATCATTTTTTTTTGTATACAAAGTTAAAACGAAAATTTCTAATTTCATCAACTCCTATTTCACAATTCATCTGTTTATATTAACTGAGTGGCTAAATAACAAGCCTAAAATATCCTTGAGAAATTATACACTCTTGTAATGATGTGGGCAGTACTACTGGTTGCACGATGGATACTGCGTCAGTATTCGAGACTCTGATAGTTAAATCATTCATGTGAACTGATGGTGTATGTTAGATCGTTCTTTGGTAGTTCAGAAGTTAACTTCTGGCCTGTTACCCGAAGGTCCTGAGTTCGATTTCCGATTGAGGCTAGGTAGTATACACCAGTTAAAAACTGATGTTAGGGCATACAGGAAAACTGCTATAATCTGATTATGCAGAATTGCTAAGAGTTGTGGAATATCTCAGTTTATAGAGAAATTTTTGTTCTACAAACTTCAGTTGTGTAACAAAATTTAAATGTGTTTGATACAAGAATATGATCATTTTAATATGTAGTAAATCACGGGAAAGAAACTGTTCGAACAGGTTCTTTTTCAGGATTTAACACATTTTAGAATATTCGCATTTCTGTCACAAATAGGTTCGAAACTTTTCTAAGATTTCAGCATTATAGGCCACACATTTTTCGACTCCCACAACTGTTATCAATTCTTCGTAATCAGATTATAGCAGTTTTCCTGTATGCTCTAACACCCGTTTTTAATTGGTGCATACCTAGTCGGGGAATACATTCCATTTTCACATGTTTGTCTGTAGAATTCTCTCACTTCCAGCTGGGTTAAAATTCACTTTCTAAAATGCCAATAAATGTAAACATTCTGATTTCGCCAGAAATTAGATTAATGTCAGAACTAACTTCAGTAATAATATCAGATCTAGTTTAAAACCTGTTTTTTGGACTATTTTCTCAAATTGAGAACTGTTTTGGCTATGCAATTTGAGAGAGTACAAAATTTTTAACACAAATAGTGACGTCTGTCGAATTATAAACAAAATCCAAAGCTAATACACACCTAAGCTTAAGGTCTACCAAAATAGACTAGAATTCTAAAAGCAAATAATTTTTTCATTAAAAAGGTGCTATCTTTAACAAAAACAAGATGGTCTACATCCGCATGTGTTTGGATACTATGAAAACTCGATTTTCAAAATTTAAACCTGTCTTTTTATACAAAAAAGCAGACACGTGTGTTAGCGTTAATTTGAAAGGTCCACGAGCTCACAAGCATGTAAGGTTATGGCAAATTTCTGCAAATGCGTACCATTTAATGCAAAAAGCCCTTGTATCTAGGATAACTCTAGGAAAACTCAAGATTTCCAGTTAAAATTATTTTATTTCATCGACTTTACTTCACTTTCCTAATCTGGCGAAGAAGGTACAAGTTCTCACTTATCGAGATAAAGATAAATCCTTGGTTTTTGGAGAAGCAGAATTTGCTCTGGTTTGAGAACTGCCAACTTTACTTTCTTGTGTCAGTTTAATTTAGTTTGTTGAGAATTGTCGAAAAGGATTAATTTTTTCTACTCTCAACGTAAAACTCGTAGAAGGAGAAACGGTCGAAATACGCCTCATATTTGTAATTTAAGCTCAGCTTGATTGGATTCTAGTTGTTTTTCTTGCATTCATTGATTGAATGCAAGACCCCCCTTGATTTACGATTTTCTGTCATGTTTATCTCTAGATTTGCTGATTCTATTTTACTTATTCAAAAATGCCCTAATTCTGCATGAGCGTGTATGAGGAAATGTTCCCTTTCGAAGGTTATATTATATGATGTTCCGTTTATTCACTATTCCTGTTCGAGAAGACGTCATATTTCAAAAACTCTTTATGATTTGTCATTCACAAAGATAATTGCTGTGTGTACATGAAGTTATATACATTTCAGCAAACAAGCCAGAAATGTCTAGAAATAGGGAGGATAATTCCATCGTGTATCTACCATCATATACAAGACTTCGTTTGGACAAGGTAGGATAAGAAAATTTTGAGAAGATTATTTATCAAAATAAATCTTTATATAAATATCGGTATCATCGTTTCCTAGCAGAGCTCCTAATCGGACAAAAATTGATGGCCCGACTCGGACCGCCCAATAGTCTTTCTTGGTCCGGCCGGTACGAGCCCTAGTATAAATTTTGTTTAGACTAAATTCAACTTTATTATAGCAAAAACGCCATAAAAGCTTTGCTAAAGATTGGTTCAGCAGCAATATCAGTTAATTAAGAAAATAGAAGTATTTTTTTGACTCGGCAATTTCAAAGACATATGAAAAATAGAGAGAGAGAAAGAGAACAGAAAGAAACACAAAACAAGGTTAAGAAAAAAGATGTCGATTTTTTTCAAGTGATTTTTATACGAAGAACGAAGATGAGAGAAACAGAAAAAAAATTCAAAAACAAATATCCATTAGCGATGCAGTTGTTTATTCTTCTGCCATTAGTCCTAAACCAGTGATCAAACACTCTTTATTTTGACAACAGAATTCACTGAGATAATAGTAACATACTACTGTTACCAGGAAATAACCAAATTTAGCTGAAAATATGCAGAAAAATTTTAAAATTTCTCGAGTCGGACTGGTCTGAAAAAAATATTGATCCATCCGATCTGAAAAATTTTCTGGGATGACTCGGCCTGGCTCGAGGCGGATCGATTCCGGGCCGGATGGACCAATACGAGTTCTGCTTCTAAGTCGGTCCAAGGTACCGCTTTTTTCTAAAACTGAGTTGCAAACATTTTCGTTAATGATGGATGCATTGGCAATTGAGGCTTCACACATAATCCTGTTCTATGAACCGACCAGCATCACAAAGTATCATCCAATAAACATTTAGGTATTAATCGGCTTTATGGATGCGATTGTGTTGAAATAAGTATTTCAACTGAAAATTCCAGTAAAGATAACTTTCAAGTCAAAAAGTAATACAGAATTGAAATTATTATCTATATTTTGAATTACGCTGTAAAAGGTTCAAACCGCACCCGAGCCTATAATCGGAGTTGCAGGTCTCTGTATAGCGGAAGTCTGAGTTCATATTCAAAACGAGAGTGTGAGCGATGAACAGTCTATTTTGGAGAGTAACTTTTCTCTTTAGAATAGACTAAAAACTGGAAATAAGTTGTGTTCTAGGCTCCTCTCCTCGCACTCTATCCGAATACATTAAATAAGTTTCTTTTCAACGTAACCTTAAAGCAGAGTAAAGAAAAAATATATTTTTGGCCTTATAACTCGGATAGATCCCATTAATCTGAATGCTAACATGTTAAGAAAGCCAATAGACGCCCTCGATAGTAACTCGGATATCTAACATCTTTTGGTTAAATGGTACTTTATGAGATCCTACGTTTAAAACTTCTGAAAAATTGCATGTGTAATTGAGATCGGGATTCGTTCACCAATTCTTTTCAAATGGTCGGATTACTTGAAATAAATAAATAGTCTTTTCTAGTCAAGATATTATTATCGTGACAATTTCCAGCTTGGTTGAACGAAGTCTTGTATATAGTGGTAGACTTCCTATGGCAACATCGGGAGGTCAGATGAAGTTGTTCGCTCTCTCTCTCTGTACTATGTGTTTTATATAAGCTAAATACAAGTTTTCTCGTGTGACCAAGAAAAAGAATCTTTTTATGAAATTCAGATGAAACAAAGATATATTTCTCCAAATAGAGCCGTATATGCACTTCAAACAAAGTTTCAGATATTTAAAGACGGCTCATCCTGCAGAACAGGACAAATTTTTTGGGACAAGACATAGTCCAGACTAGACATGCAACGGTTATTTTATCGGGACTCGCGGGGGTATTAGTTTTAAAAATCGGGGAAACTTTTCAAAATTTTTTCGAGTCGGCAGTTTTGTGTACAAATGTTTGCTCTATCAAATAAGACATCGCAGGCTTTATCACGGTGGTTCATAGATGAGATATTAGTTTTTTTTTCTCTAAAATAGGACCGGTTATAACCGGCTGTTAACCGCCGCACAGTGGGCATTTTTTGCTTGAGCAGGCGGACTTTAGCTTTATGAGCGAAATAAAATTTCATGAACCATTTTTTTATAGGTTTTTCATGATCCTCTTTCGAATGGCATGAGAGTTAGCTTTTGA